ATTGTTGTAATTGTGACTGGTTTTCTTTCATGTTTACTTATCAGCACCAGTTTCTTATCTTTTTGTGTAAAAAATTCTATGCAAGTAATCTCGTTCCAAGATAACCTTTGAATTTGCTTCGTTTATGACTAGAAAGCAGAGCTGTGCGCACATCATACTCATGCTCTTCCAACTATCTTTATCTGAAGCGCTGTATAAAGTCCATGATGCAGTCACTCACTATGTGGTAATCACTCATTGACATACAGTAACCGCCAAAAAGTTGCGGACAAGCCGCCCTCCTTTTTTCATCGCTTATTTCCAGATGGGAAACAAAGATGAAAAAATAATCTGATTGCATATGGTGATAGAGCTCATCAAGAGCTACAACCAACACATCGCGCTTTCTGGAAAACGTGTATTATAAAAATTTTAAAAATGTTTTTCTGAAAAAAGTCCGAAAATGGACGCGTCACCATTTCGCGGACATTAATTCTTCGAACGCGAAAATTTTCTTTTAGGTCTTTTCTTGGGGCAAAAACAGAAGTTTTCCGGACAGATAAGCATAGTATATTGTAGAACTCATCGAGGACAATAATATGGTAGTGATTACTTTCGAAAACTCAAGCTTGAATTTTATTTTGCTTCTTTTCAAAAAATAACTTCTATTTCCCTGCTTCAAGCCAAATTTCTTCACATGGAAACCCATTCAAGACATCCAAACGAAGCTATTCGGATAAAATGGATGCCCTTTGTTATCTTCTATGCATCGGATGTGTGCTGGAGAGTTTCTTTGTCAAAAATGGCTCTTGACAGTGCGTGCACATGACCCCACCTGCACCTCACCACTGACTTGCACCGCTTTGCAGGCTTGTAACTCAGCCGGCAGTCACTCTACGAGACTGCAAGTAGGCTCATTCGAAAGAGCATGACTTTCTGGACACGATGGTGTGCAAAAGAGCTGGGTATGACAAACAGCGGAGAAATGGCGGATGGGGTGTCAAAGCGCAGCACTGGCGATGAATGGAGTGATGGCTCCTATCAACATAAAAACAGTCTTAGAGCTCCGAAAGAATCTATTACACGAAAATTGGCAGTTTTGAACTCCTAAAATGAAATTGGTAGCGAAAGGAGCCCTTTCTAACTTTAGCTGAAAAATCCTTAGCCTACCACTGAAGCTGCGTTTTTTCACCCCATCCGTCAAATCTCCGCTGTTTGTCATACCCAGCTCTTTTGCACACCATCGTGTCCATAAAGTCATGCTCTTTCGAATGAGCCTACTTGCAGTCTCGTAGAGTGACTGCCGGCTGAGTTACAAGCCTGCAAAGCGGTGCAAGTCAATGGTGAGGTGCAGGTGGGGTCATGTGCACGCACTGTCAAGAGCCATTTTTGACAAAGAAACTCTCCAGCACACGTCCGATGCATAGAAGATAACAAAGGGCATCCATTTTATCCGAATAGCTTCGTTTGGATGTCTTGAATGGGTTTCCATGTGAAAAAAATTTGGCTTGAAGCAGGGAAATAGAAGTTATTTTTTGAAAAGAAGCAAAATAAAATTCAAGCTTGAGTTTTTCGAAAGTAATCACTACCATATTATTGTCCTCGATGAGTTCTACAATATACTATGCTTATCTGTCCGGAAAACTTCTGTTTTTGCCCCAAGAAAAGACCTAAAAGAAAATTTTCGCGTTCGAAGAATTAATGTCCGCGAAATTGTGACGCGTCCATTTTCGGACTTTTTTCAGAAAAACATTTTTAAAATTTTTATAATACATGTTTTCCAGAAAGCGCGATGTGTGGGTTGTAGCTCTTGATGAGCTCTATCACCATATGCAATCAGATTATTTTTTCATCTTTGTTTCCCATCTGGAAATAAGCGATGAAAAAAGGAGGGCGGCTTGTCCGCAACTTTTTGGCGGTCACTGTATAATGCTATTAGTATGGGTACGAACTTCTACTGATATGATAGCATTCTGGGCAGAATTCAATATCACGTGAACTGCATTCGTCTCTTGATGGAAATCTTTGTATTGATAGCTTTCGTTGGCGACTTTTGGCTAACTATCATCATTATCTTCTTAAAATATCTCAACTCATTCCAGAAACCTTTTGCGATGTTAGTGACCTCAAATGCTCCAACCTGTCAGCTTGCTTTCTCCGTGTAGACGGCCTTTGGGATAATCCGAATGGAATTCTTGAAGCTCAGTCCCTTCTTTGTACATAGAGATTGATTGCGATTCAAAGCAGCTCCATTAGCTTTATTCTGAGTTGCGGAACCACTCTCATTGTCTGTAGCTGCATGAAGAAGATATCCTCTAGAGCTCGCTTTAGTGCATTGACCTCTTTAATTAGGATGAAAGCCACCTTGCGTGAGGCAGTGCCCTCTTTGTCAGGTAATTATGCCCTGGCTCTCCGATGCGTCCTCTAGTTCTTCCGAGGCTTGGGTGAGAAAATTCTAAAGTGTTCAAAGTGACTAAGAGTTTGCTATCAATGAGACATCGTCTCTCATGCTTTTTCAACCCTAGCGGTTCTCATCTGTCAGTAATAGAACTTTTTATGAGCAGTGTGTAGAAAAATGCGTGATTCACATCTATTGATGTTTGTGTAAACGCTTTAGATGGGCCATTTTATCATATTTTAGGGTGTGAGTTAGCCTGAATTGGTCGATATTAGTCATTACATCACACATTATTATCGATTTTCCTTTTATTCTTGTTGACCCAAGGCTTGGTCTTTTTTTCCGGAACTGCCTTTTGTTTATCCTGTTCTGGTGTGTTTTTCATATTTTCTCAGTGATAGAAGACTATTAACTTTTGCTGTCTTAGAATTTATCGATGGTTTTTTTCTCAAGGAAGAGGAGACGCGCTTTTTTCTTTTTTTATGCATTTCTAATAAGGTCATATAGATTAGCCCTTTGTATTAGCTCAATAGCTCGCAACAGCAAGAAGCCTGCTTTTAGTTTCGATAACGATGAGCGTGCTCTACTGCTTTAAATCATGATAGAGCTATTTTTCGTAAAGTGTCTGCTGTCTGGAAATAGACCAAATGAATCTGCAGGAATTGTGTAATGACTTTTTTTACACATTTTCTAGTGCATTTCTTTCTTTCATTTTGTAATTCGTCTTCAGCTGTCAGTGAAGCATGGCGCGAACGTCGTTTGTTTTCGTTCTAATCAACACCCCATCTGCTATAGTCAAAAGACTGTCGGTATGCTTTTGTTTTTTCACAAAATCGTTTAGCTGACTCATGCTAGGTTTTTCTCTGATTACATTTGGCTTAACCATGGTTTATGTGGTTTTCTATACAAACAGACTTATCATCTCTTGAGAAAATACTGGGCCGAAAAGGATGAGACAGTGGTGTAAAGTTCGATGTCGACCCTCACAGCCGGAAATCAGCTGACTTAATCGCGAAGAGGGCCTTGGTTTAAGACTTAATTATTCCTGAATTGCTTTTGCTAGCAATATTGTCGTTCTCCATTGGCGTCAACATATGCCTTCGTAATAGTCAAGTGCCATTAGGCCAGCACATTTTCTATACTCTTTTTTTGACGAAGTCAAGTTCGTCCCAGTTTCTATGACTCAGTTACGATCGACATTGCGCACTTAGCGCAGTCGACTGTATCTGCCACCTCCGCTCCCAATTTCTTCGCTTTTCACTGTATCGATAAAAATTTGTTAGTTTTGTTCGACGATCGAAAATCGGTTTCGACCCGCATTCGACACAAGTTGTACTTGTAAGTTGTGCTTTGGCTGGGATCACTTGCACTAACACGCATTTTTGCAGTTCAATGAGGTTAAACAGTGGGTCGGTTGCAGAGCTGCATAGGAAAAACGAACGCAGTGTGTTGAACTTCGTATTGTTAATGCGACGCGGGATATGGTTACAATTACTGTTTTTAGCTTATCCGACGAAAGCGGGGCAACAGTTAACAGCGTACGCGAATGTTACCAGAGTCGAAAAATGGGAGCACCAGCGTAATTGAGCTGATTCACAGTACATATTGCGAATATTTGTAAAGGGATATGAGCGTGCTATGCTGCACGAAATTTGGTGTTTTTCCAGTCCGCTTGAAATAGGCCGTCGTCGCGCGCACAACCGGTTTAGCTCGAGCGATATTGTTTGGTGACACTCGTCGACATTCTCTCTTTCATGCAACATGCAGTTGTTACTTCTTCTTTCCCCACACGTGTGCGTGTCGCGCGAGCGAGCGTAAGCGTGTCGTAGTCCCCGCGCGAACGTGCGCGTATGATTGAGTTGGTTAATTTGTAGCCTCAGTCGTATTCGGTCGCCCAATTGGACGTCTGTCGATGGGGCTGGTCGGTTATCTGAACGAGAGAACGTGCGACCACACGAGGACCGAGACAGTAACGTTTAGTCAGACGCTGCGAACATCTGGACGGCATTCTGGCCGCCCGGACGAACGCCGTGCCGTCGTCGCAACGTGGCCCGACGTCGCCCGATACGGCCGGTAGCGCCTTCTCGCCTTCGTTCGTTCCTCGTATTCAAGTGTTTGGCAATGACGAGTTCTCATTGCTCGCTAATCGATTACTTAACGGAGCACCGCTGCGAAGATGACGGTCTCCTGGCGCTTCGCTCGTCATCCTGGATTGGAGAAGCATCATGCAAGTGCTACTCAGCTCCGACACTGAATCACGCTTCTTCCACTTCCGTGTTTGCCCGCCCGCCATCAAAAAGCTCATAAATATCACTCACTTTATAAGAAATGCCCATGTCTCTTTGAGTTAGACTCTAGATTCACTTACCACGCCTCTGTTATCTATCACCTCTCTAGAAAACATCTCCTTGCTAAAATCGCAAACTCTTTCCTCTTGTTATTCCTCCTTGCAATCGAACATCTGCTGTCAGTTCTTTGTGTGTACAAGCACAAACATTTGGACCTCTCTCTTTCCCCGTGACGCTACTCTGATGCCGTGATTTTTGTCGCTGCGGACGCATGCAGTGTTTATTTTGCCATTAGGTTTCATTTGATTATACATGTTACCGTTTTTCTGCGCGGCAATCATTGTCGCCTTTTAGGAAGTATTGCCACGAACCGGATGTCATCGGATACTGTAGTATCGGAATTTGAAATACTACTCGACGCTGGGAAAGAGCCGGTGTTCAAAGGTACGCATATAGTGACTATAGTTTTTTGAAGTACTCGTTATTTGATTTACTGCCTTTGTTGTGAATTTATGCATGAGCAAATCTGTGACTTTGGTCTTCACAAAATACATGGCTCTTCGATGCTTGTGTCTTAAAAGTGTGGTTATGGTACACGGTGTTGGAGAGCGATTATAATATAAAAGTCAAAGTTCTTCCTTCTTCCCAGTTCTGGTTCCATTTAGAAGAGTTCTTGATCATATTAGATGGTTACGTATTCCTTTCTATCCAGTTAGTAAATGGCTTTGCCAGCTAATTAACCCGACTAATAGGTTTAGGAAATTATGCTTTTCATTCTGGAAACGAGACTCACAAAGCCTCTTTTCAATTACGCGCTCCGCCATCGTGTGCGGTCATAAATTATGACAGCGTCAAGTCGCACATAGAAGAAGATATAGCACATGCGACAGCATGTATAGTTTGCGCGTCATAGGCCCTGAAATATGTCATATGGAATGGAAAGTTATAGTTTCATATGACTCAATGTACATATACTAAGCTATGGTTTCCGTAAAAGAATGTTCTTGCAGTTTGATATAGCAATGATGGGAATGACTCATCAGACCGGGAATAAAGTTTTTCTCATAAGTTGACGAAATAAGCCACAGGATTGTGCAAGTGAATCATAAACCGGTGTCTCTTCGCATCTGCACCTAATTGAATCATTGTTACTAGGTCGAAATAGGTTTTTTTTGCATCACATGTGCATGAAAAGACCATTTATGGGAATTGTACATTCTTCACGCTTCCGAGAAAATTTGTGACCCTGTTAATGCATGGCTCACAAGCGATTTATTTACCTGATTGCTTTTGCTCTTATTTTTGTGTCATAATGAGCTTTAGATTCTTGCTCTCGTGTGGCAGAAAACAGTTAAGTACACTACTTTGCAAAAATAATGCTTATAGATAAAAAGTTTTACATCAGAGCTCAAAACATATCTATTTCATCTGTGGGAAAATAATCACTTGGGAATGTTTGCATAAATCTGAGCTTCCATCAGTGAAGAATGTAAATCTCCAGTACGGCTGCACATTTGTGTCTGTTTACGGAAGCTTGGACGCTGGACGCTGCCAAGTGCTGCCACATGTCTGGAGTCTGGCGTGTAACATAATGATTGTTAACTGGAAGCTCATAAGGAATACTTTACTTTGCTTTTTTCAAAGATCTCAGAACTTATTGTTGGGGGTTTCAAGATTTTTAAGATGGAATTGATCCCCTCATTGCTTTTTTTTCCAAAAAGATTAACTTCAAGCATTTTTGCGTCCCTTCTAAATTGACGAAAGTGGATACCGAAAGTTTCTTCATGGATATAAGCATACTGTTATTCTGATACCGTTGTGATCAACTAATTTGTTTTGAAAGCATGTGGAGAATGTCACCGCATCCCTACTTTTTATCTAGAATTAATCTTTGTGTTTTTGAGTTTTTTTGTTTGCCATATGCAGCATCTGAACTCTGCTCTGATTTTCGATCTATAAGGACGCAGAAAACTTTTGGAATTTTCATCGCAGGTGTAGAATCAAACGGTATGATTTGTTTCTTAGTTCTCTTTATGAAAACTCTTTTTTATTGCTTTCGGGTCTTCACATCAAGAAAAGTTTGAAGTTGAACATTTGATCAATGTTTTTAAGACATTCTGTTGTGGAGATACAGATGAGAAAGGCAAAGTGTATTCAGTTAATCCAGATTACTATAGTTTTGAGCTTCAGAGTTCTGAATCCTATCATGTTCATCCAATGCTTTTCTCAGTTTCTTTCCATCTGTTGTAGTTGAAAATTTAGTGATTTGCATGCCTGCGGGGAGTGGGGAGAGGGGGGGGGGGCAATAAAGCTGTGTCAGCATTTTTCGATTTTGTACTTGTCAGCTGAATTTTTTGGGATTTCTGTGTTGAAGCGAAGACGTAAGCTAATTGATCGTTCTATGCTCTACCCACTTGATTCCATCCCATTGATTCTTGCGCTCGCTAAGGTGACACATGCGCAGACGGAAAGCGCGACGACCTCGTCGTGGTTGTCAATTGATATCAGCGTGCCATTTGGGACCGCACTTATGAAGTGACGAGCGCACGTCCTTGGATGCTCCGGATGTTTGTTGAGCGATCGCGCAAGCGGTAAAATTGACGCAATCAAACACATGCTACACATTGAGACGTTGAGGTGTGGCGCTGAGGGGGAAATGAGAGATGGAATTGAATCAGCCTACAACGTGTAGTGCCGTAACTAGGCTAAGTCAGTTCTCAAAAGCACTGTCTGCCCAAATCTGAGGTGTGGATGCACAATAGAGAGCCCCGTAACCAAACAACTGACCAAGTCTCGCTGCGTGTTTCCGATGCGAGGAAATTGCTCCAGAAAGTGGTGTTGCTGAGGTCGCCACGCCGATCAACGTGGGTGGGGTAAAAGTATTGAGCCCGAAACTAAATTTAGGTATTCTGGAGTTCAGTTTCGGGTTCATTACTTTTACACCACCCATGTTGATAAGTGTGTCGGCCTTAGCAGCATCCATTTTCTAGAGCGAATCCTTAGCTTTGGGAAACACCTTTTGCATCGGGACTGGGTCCATTACTTGGTTAAGAGTCACGCTGTAGTGCATCAAAACTTTTACCTCGGATTTGGGAGGGCGGTACGTAGTTTTTGTAATATTTGTACTACACACAACATGGACAATGCGCGTCTAAGCTTGAGTTTTTTTTTGCACGCGCAATGTACACTGTGTGAATTCGCATTCTTTAACTCTTGTTGGCTCAACTGTACTTATGTGCCCTGATAGTTGGGCATTACTAGAGGTTATCCATTACTCCAACAAACTCTTGTACTTTGTGAAATAGTCAAGTCAGTTATTAACATAAAAGTGCACAAAAGACGTGAAGAAATACGAGATCATGTTTGATTGGAGTCGGTGAACCGGAATTTCGCGACTAATGCACCCTCTTCCTAGGCGCGATTTCTTTGCGAGAACTCAATTTCGAGCAGAAAAAGGACCATTTTCTTTTTGTATTACGTTTTGAGAATATGAGTTGACATTTTTTCCGTTCTTGGCACGACAAGTTGAAGCAGATTTGCTTTTGAGAACGGAAACTCACAGGAGTGAGGATTGTAGCCCCATTGTGAACTCTATGCATCAATGAGTTACTAGATTACTTATAATCATCCATTTTTGGAATTTGCTAATGTAACTTCAAGAAGATTCGTTCGATTTTTATATACTCTATGGAGGATAGTAAATTTTACGTCTAACAGCGCTCATAGCAAAAGCAATTTGACAAAGTTGCTCATATTTTACAGTAGTTAAAAGACGAAAGTGCTAAAAGATCACTCAAACTCGTTATCGTCGATATCATAGGGTCTCAGCGTACTTTTTTTTTTTTTTGGAAGTAATGAAGTTTTCCTTCGTAAATCGATTTATAAGCAGTGTAAAATAAAGTGAAAATTTCTTCATCACATTTCTTATGAATTGTGATTAGGAGCATTGCATCGGCACAAAACTGCAAAATTTGGTGTTTCATCTCACCAACAAGAAAAGCACATGTAGAAATGTTAGACAAGAACCATGTATGGTAGAGGAAGTTCCGATATACACAAGGGGCAGAATTTCTGTAACAGCAAATTATCACCTTCTTTAGATTATTCAAATTTGGCAACTTCCATCACCTTAAAAGCCTAAAAAATCGAAAAATTGGAAAAAAGATGTAAAGAAGAGTGGTTCTGGCAGTGCCATAAGACAACTGCCAGGGAGGGAAAACCACTATAGAGAATGTGCTTCTGGGAGTCAATAGAGCACATTCTAGTCCCGCCCAGTGTTGAAAAAGTACTGAAAGCGTCGAACGACTTCAAAGCCCGCCGGTGATGAAATATGACGCCAGCAGTAAATTTCTGTGTTTTGGTAATTTTGCTGCCGAGAAAAGAACTGGTTATTTTAACTTGCTAGAGGGAAACAACGATAAGAAATTGAGAAGCGATTTTTTTGTGAAGACCTATCATCGAGATGCTTATCGCTTTCGAAAAAGTTCAGGTTATGCAAAAAAAAAGATTTTTTTTTGAGAGAATTATTTTCAGGCGGCGAAGTAATCACAGGACATCTCCGTATAGAGTTACGTTCTCCCATAGTCCTCAATGCTGTTAAACTTCAACTCAAAGGGCGAGCAGCCTGGTTGAATGATCCTGTGAAGAAGGACAACATCGAGAAGGTACCGAGTGGTGTGAGCATGTTTACTCGCGTTGAATTGTAAATTATCTCTCAACTGAGTAATCGCTTAGGTCTACTTCGATCAAGATTTTATCTTATTGGAACGGCCACCTGGAAAAGCGGAAGCGGGCCATTTTGTATGGAATGCTGGATTTCCGTACACGCTTCCCTTTGAATGCCCTCTACCGAAGGTAGTCTTGAATTTGTCAGCGTAGACAAAGACCTTTGCAGAAAAATCTTTTTTCAGGGTTGCCCAACATCCTACGAAGGACCTTATGCGTTTATTAGATACTTCATAAAAGCAAGCCTTGTGCACGAAGAATCTGATGGAAGAACAGTGAGAATTTTATATGGGGTCGTTCCGAAAGTTTTATTGCTGTTTTTTTTTGTTGAAAACTCACAACTCTATCTTTACGTCCTTTGCATCATTTTGAATCATCAAAAATGAGTTGTTCAATTTCCTAAATTCAATTTTGGATGATACAACCATACAATGAGACTGATTTTTTTTGTCTTTCTCCTCGGAAATCTTAGATCTCCATAGAGACGCTTGAGCCGCACGGAGTTTCCGCAGAAAAAATTTGATGCCAGCACATTCAGAGACCTAATTCAGAGACGTTGGAGCTTATTGATCTTCTTTTTTCGGCTCTATACTTGATATAAAAACTTCTGACATGCTTTACAACTAGATGAATTCATAGAAAATTCAATAGCGAGAATACGCATCACATAAAATAGCGATAGATTTTTTCGAACTACTCAACAATCTGTACCAATTTGAATTCTTTTTCACTTTTTGCAAATATTGTAGAAGGAGTATTACGTGAAAAAAGCTTTCTCGATAGTATCACCATCAGACGAGCACGTGATTAGAGGAGAACCAGTTACGGTGAAAGATTCTGTGACTTATGGGAAATGCTGCTGTAAAGGAAAGGTATGTGACAACTAGTTGGAAAGTTTATTGGACTAGTTTCGAGAAGTAGGGTTTTTTAGTTGGTGGCCGAAATGTCATTACCAAAGACTGGCTACTTGCCGGGTGAAATGGTTGTTGGTAGCATTAAAGTTGGAAACAAATATCCAAAGGACATATTGCAACATGTAGGCTATTTGAGCTTCAGATTTGGTCTTTGGAGTCAAATCTGATAAATTATGATGCAGATGGAAGCACGACTAGTTGATCGAGTTGTTCGTATTGGAGGACCAGAAAAGTCGTCTACATCTCCATATCGAACGCTTTTCTGCAGAAGAATCGAAGTACCAGAGTTAGTAAAAGCGAATCGAAAGCTTCAGAACGATGATCTTAACCTTCTTACCATACCAGCGGTATGCCCCTCCACAAAAGGTTAGTAAATATCGATTTCCAGCATGAAAATGCTGTTATGAAACTGTTTAGCGGATTATGATCCGACCAAAGAGCTTCACTCAATGTCACCCGATCAAATGGTTGAAAGCCCGTCTACAGCCACATTGCGACAAAGAAGACAACCGTTTATCAGGATAGAATATGCCATTCAGGTGAGTAAGTGCTCAGGCTGAATTTCTTGTTTTTGCGCAAAGCGTTTTTTCAGATTTCCCTGGGAAACATCGTTTTTCTTGAAGCGCCAATTACCATTGGAGAGTTGTCGACGCACGACTCGTCCAATGTGCTGAAACCATTCGTTGCCGGACCTCAACCGATCGAAGAGGTTGACGAGACTCAAAGGATCGCCATCGGAGGACCATTTACGTACACTCCCGTTTACACAATGAGGAAGTCGATTGCGTCGAACGAGGCCAAACCGACGTCAGATGGTAATCTTCGGCATGCATCATCATCACACACACGTTTCTCAAATTACCGTTCCTCTTCGTTCGGGTGTGGATGAATGAGAGGCGTCACGTACAAAAGCGACAGAAGAATAGTGGAAAAGGTAGCACCGTACGGTGTATTTGTGGCCATCGCAAAGCGCATTTTGCATATTGCACAGCCAAGTTTCAAAACTTAGTTTTGTCATGCAAAGACTGGCGTATCCTATTCTTTTCGGGATAAAGGTTAAAGGCATCGTCCACCCAATCTGAAGTTGGCGACATCGATGCAGTACAGTAGCGAGCCCTCTACAAAGAAAGTGCCTAAGTCCCGCTACAAACGCTGTATTCCGAAGCGAGAAAGCTCCAGAAAAATGCTGCTGGGGTCGTCACGCCCACCAGCTTGCGGGGTGTAGAGGTAATGAGCCCGCTGACCCCAGAATAGCTAGATATCGAAAATCAGTTTTTACAATGGAAGGCGAATACTCGACGATTGTAGGAACTTCTGAGTCCAGATTTAGGCTCATTTTTTATAGATCACACTGATGGGGCTGGCGACTCCAGCTGTAGCTACCTTCTGGAGCGATTTAGGCTGGCACGAAAGTTGCGTAATTCAAACAAAATTCAATAACTTTTCAAAGACCAAACCTAAATTCACAATCTTGTATGCAAAAATATTAGAAGTCTCTCGCTCCATGATGGAAGTTCAAGCACAACATTCCATGAGCTAGCTATTGAGAACGAAGCTCTCAAATATGAGGCTTCCAGTGGCGTACCCAGGATTTCGGCTCGGGGGGGGGGGGGGGGCGCGACAAAAATTTTTTTCTAAAGAAGGTGCGTGGCGTTAGCCACGCACTCCGGAAAAATTTTTGGGGTGGTTCTCAAAACTTTTGCGGGTCTCCGACCCCTAAAATCTGGAAAAAGGGGGCGTGGCGTCAGCCACGCCCCCGAAAAAAATTTTTTTACAAAGCTAATTTGAATTTTTAAAAATTTTTAAAAATTATTTTAATTATTTACAAAAATAAACAAGTCACTTGCACATTTTTATAACCCATATAAGTAACTTCTAAAAATTTCGCGACCCATTCTCGGGGGGGGGGGCGCGCGCCAGTACTCTGCGTTGATACCACTGCTT